TAGCTACATAGACCGATGGATGCAGGGACAAAGCTCAAGGTCAAATTCAGGACCGGGGACATAGGCCTTCGAGAACGTCGACGAAGACATGGGACGGTAGACGACGAAGACGACGAGTTCAAATGTAATTGCGGCTTCGAATGCGAAGACCGTGTTCATGTAGTCGCGGAATGTCCGTGGTACAAGAAGGAGAGGGAAGTGTACGTGACTGAGCTGGGAAAAATAGATGGAACGTACAGGGAGATGTTTGAGGCATGGAATAGAGAGGAAAGGACGGTAGCTGTACTGGGGCATAGGAGGTGGGTTGAAAAGGCGGGAAGGGATATCGTTAGGATAGACAGACTAGGGAAGACATTTTTGAGTCACCTTTGGCAGAGTAGAAAGGAACGATTGGCCATCGGTGATCGGTCCTGTGGGAACAATGCTCCGTCCTCTCGAGGACGCGTGGTCAACGGTCTAACCGCTAAGGCATGCAAAACATATGAGTACGCCCCCCCCCGGAGAGATCCAAAATTATTGTTTTGGGTTAGGCGTCGGTATTTGTTTTTTTGGCCGCACATTGGGTCAAACGTCATGATTATTGTTGTACCTCATTGAGTCTGGGGCGTCAAAAGAACATTCTCATGGTGTGTCATGGTACGCACCCTATGACAGAGAGCGTCGAATCTCTACTGAGCTCCTGTGAAGTACCGAGAGCGTCTCCCGAGCGTCTGACGTTGGATTAGCAGCCGAGGTCTGTTCCTCGATTCATCATTCATGATGAAGGTTGTGTGTGAACAAAAGCAAAAGATGGAATACAAAATGTTAGGTCGCCTGTGTTGCACAATATACAATAGACTGCTCTGTAGACAAACGGAGGTGACCAAGATATCACATTGATCGTGAACATTCTAAGAACGTTGCTTGTCATTTCGCGAAGGAAGAGGACGGAATATCTATAGATCAAAGCGATAGCTTTTTGGGAAAGCCTCACTGAACATCACGCAGATGGCAGGAATGACAGCCACCTACCCAGGCATATCTACAGCGGTGAACCCTACTGCTGTAGAGCTCTAGACTGCTTGCCACATCTGTACGATTTCATTTCGCAACCATCCCCTTCTACCGTTCGTTGCAGTCTGAACCCAGAAACGACCCAACTCCTCTCACCTTCGGCCATTGTAATCGCTGCCCACCGTGTGTGCGCGTGCTTGCGAGGGTCAGAGAGTGCCTGTGAGCAACAGCAGTAGTGGAGCACGGGGGGCCCGTTGAATGTGAGAATGTGTATTGCCCTTGTGCACTTATCCGATAAGGACGAAATTTGGAGGGGGGGGGGGGGCATGGAAAAGCCAAAATACACTATCAGGGGAGCACGGAGAAGACATGTTGTCTCCTGAGAGCATGCGGGGGTACGATGAGGGATCATGAGGAGCAAAACGCCACGTGCTCGTGTGCAGAGCCGGTGAGATGGAAGCGGCCAATAATGATATCATTTTCGGTAGATATCCCCAACGAATGAATGTGGCTTGAGTTGCACGAATACGGCGCCAGCTTGTCGATACATTGTGGGTTGACCCGCGTGCCATGTGTTCTACAATATGCCTGCTACAGTACCCGATGGTGTGATCAGAGGTAGACTCTGCGAACGGCGGCACTACCGAGGCCGAAGATGTCCCCGAAGTTGCCGGCTATGAAGCAAGGGGTAGAACCACACGCCGTAATGCGTGGAGCGAGTGCAAGAGGGCAGGGTAATCCAAGGAGGAGGTGAGTGGCAAGGACATTGTAGGTGTCTGGTGCAAAGGTCGTATCAGTACACGGTGGAAGTCGTTCCCTGTCTACAGCAGTTGCAGTACAAGGACCTTCGTATCT